GTGGCTGATGGTTTCCTCACTTTTTTCCTAGTCCGTTCGGGCCCGCTGATTGAACCTCTGACACACATGCCGTGCCCTTTTCGTGCAGTCTCATCGTTGCTGTCCTTCCATCCAATCGTGTTTCTCTGGGATATCAATCCCTGTCACATCTGTGTTCTCGTGGTACGACTATCTCCCTACTTTACGAATACCAACGCCAGAATCCCGCAAGGGGCATGGGGAATCGGGATGCCACCGCAATGCAAACAAACATTGCCGAAACGAACTTGGAATGGGAACGGCGACAGCAGCGTAGTCATCGCAACAGCAAGGGTCCAATGGATTGGTGCCTTGAATTGACAAGCCACACGACTTTTCGACCCCTTTGTTTCTCGGATGCTACTCTGCACGAGTAGATTGGCCTAGAGATGCTTCTGTCCGCATTCGAGCGTGTGGCAGTTGAGCCAGACTACCGCCAACTGCGCCATGCCGTTCTGAAATTCTGATGCTTGTCTTCTTCGGTCGATAAAGCTCGAGCTTCGGAGGCGTCCCGCTCTCACGAGCAACATGTTTCGCTGGCATTTGATGGTGATGAGCAGGCCACTAATATTGGTATGTGCCAATGGGCAAGCAGCGGATTGAGGCCGAGCAAGCGGGTGCGGACGGCGTGAATCTTGCCCAATGCCGAACGGACGCAAGATGTACCCAATAATCACGATACGTCACGCCTTCTTCCATCTCCTTGCCATCGTGGATTCATCTGCCTTGACTGGCCTAATAGTCTGAGGGTCGAGATGCGTTTGCTGTCGTGCGCTAGCACGTCCTCGTGCTAGAGTCCCAACGGTGTGAATCAACGGGAAAACCTAGAAGCATGATGGAAGAAAAAGCGCAGCGCACGGCCTACTTCGTGGGATCTAGTTGCACCCGCGAGAACGAAGAAAGTCACGAATGAGCGAGGACGGAGAGATACGGTGAGGAATTTGGACCGCGTGGCCAAGAAGGAAAGAACGTCTCGCGGGCCTCGATGAACACGCGTGGCGGCATCACGGATCTCGGCTCTGGTCCGATTCTCGCCTCCGTAACACGCAAGTGACGGCGAGGTGGATAAGCTTTGTTTTTCTGTTGGCCACACGTGCTTTCGCCGCCGCGGTAGCTTGACACATATTCTCACGAGCCTAAACAGATATTTGGGGCCAGAGATGTTGATAGAGCGGTATGAGTGACGGGGCGAAACATTATCTCATTACGGAGTTGATACGGTGGTCGAAACTAAAGTACTCCAGGACTCAATACTACTACGTAGACAACTCAATCTACCTGAAGAGTGACTTTGTGACACGCCTGACGGACTTAACGAGAGTCATCCCATTACGAACATCGTTGACATAAGTAACCACATGCTTCTATCACATCCTGAGTACGTGGTCAGACGTACGGATGCCCGGCGTTCATTCCCGTGAAGCTCGCCGCTCGCGGCGGCGGGGTTATCTCGAACGCCGGCGACGATCCGTCGTACTCGCCCGCCAGTTCCGTGGTCCTACGCATCCATCACCCCATTCGTATTGCGGCCGACCAGTCACATTGGCCGGTTTACTCGCCCGCAACGAAGTTACTGTTTTCCTGCCAGCCAGCCGCAAAAAGCAAAACACTTGCAAAACGCTCTAATTCATTTGGAAGGGGTTTGTATGGTTGGCTGGTGATGGTGGTGGTGGGGTGGTATCGTGGCATCTCTCATGTCCTTTGCAAGACATTCTGTCGCCTAAGCGAGGTCAGTTTCCTGTAGCCATTTTGGCCCATGTATCGCCAGATAGGGCGGCAAGACGAGACAAGCCATGGAGGTCCATCAAACATTGAAGCGAGACATTGTAATCAGTTGTTATTCAGAGTTCCAGTCTGTTCCTCTCAGTCGATGGCTGCACCGCCTCTTAAGGCACTTGGAGCTGAGCCCTGGCTGGCACTTTGCAAGCCCCCCCCCCCATTGCCTGCAGTAATGAGCGTACTGCGGCTTTGAGGCTTTCGTACGTTCCTACGTCTCTCTCGTGGATAGTGGGGATCGATTACTGGTGGCGGGGGATATTTCTTCAGTGTCATTCATCCAGCAGTGAGACCACTATTGCCCGGTCACACGACCGAGTCGTTAGGGAACAGAGTGGCACCGGGGATGTGGAAATGCGTGGTGACTCGTGAGAAGCACACGAACGCCGACTGCGGCCCCCCATTTCCCGTTTGGTGAGAAAGTAGGCCACGGTTACCCTCACTTTATGACTGATACCTTTACATGATTATCCGCGCCTTCATCACCGTCAGCCCGGTCTGCCGAACCATTGAGCTATGCCAGGGATGCGTTTCCACACGGTAGGAGTCAAGTTGGCGAACTCCGCGATTATTACGTCGTCTGGATGGCACATACATACCGGCTGGGACTGTACACTTGTTCGCTTCCCGAGGTGCCCATACTTCCTACGAACCTTTTCATAAGAACCAATTTGGGTTAATGAGGGGATGACGAAGAGCGTCAACCTCTGAAACACTCTCGAGGAGCGGCCGTGATCGGCATCAGCCAAGGCTCAGCGTCACGGGCGCTAAGTACACATAGCAGAAGCATCAGCCCTGAGCCTGTGAACTGTGTACTTTGTAGGGCCTCTTTGGGGTCCAGCCTTTGAGGTGAGGTGGCCTTGGGGGAGCACTGGGGGGTCACATCAGCGTTCAATGATCGGACGAAAGTTTGACGTTTAGGCCCCTCCCCAGACCTCGGACTGGGCCAAATTATCGATACGAAGCAAGGGGTGGGCGGGTTCAAGGTTTCAATGTCGCCATGTTGCGAAGCTGTAATTTCAAGGACAGTCTGAATGGACAACTGTACATAGAATGCAGATCGGTTCGTTTGCTTACGGCCAAGATTAAGAGTGAACCGAAAAGAGGAACCGCGAAAGATAGCTGCCTCATCTACGATAATGCAAGATAAAGCTCTCCGCAGAAGCAATGTCCCACCCGTATCAAAGGCCCACGGGTCATCTGAGATAAATCACTCTGGGGTAAGCTGCAACTTGTGTGAGAGGGAGAGCAAGGAGATTGGGACCCCTTCGAATGGAGGAGGGAGGTTAGACACCAATTAGGAAAGGACCCATGAAAGCCCATTTTCTAGTTCTGGAAAGTCGATGGAGAAGGATTTGTGGCACAGGGCCGGCGGCGCTTGGGGACCTCCCAAGTTCGTGGGAAACTCTGGGGAACTCCTGGCCGTCCGTGAGCACTTCTCTTTCCCTTACTTGCAAAGCATGGATAAGAGAGTTCAGAGGAGCGCCAGTGAACAGATAACACTGGTTGTGCGAACAAGATACGGGACGGGATTGACAGTAAGGATGCTTTGAACAGGTCTGCGACGCGATAACCAATGTCGAGCGGGCGCGATTATACTTCTGTCCCATCTGCAGGTCGAAAGGAGTGCAGTGTCATACGACCAATGAGACCAAGGCAAGTGAGCAAATGAAACAGAAGCCCAAGGAATCCAGTCGTGAGATTGTACGAGGTAAACAGCTGGCGTTGTCGGCTGGCGTGCTGACTGTTTGAGAGGCACAGAGGCTGGCAGGAGCTTACCTTAGGAAGGAACTAGGTTCCGTGCACCGTCTCTGGACAGTAGTGAGTGCCTAGGTATGTACTGTAACGGAGGGGTTGAGAGCACCGTTGGGTAACGGTCGGCCAGTAATGTTCTCAATCGGGTACAAAATAATACCTCTAGGTAGACTCCGTATGAGTGTTCGGTTCTTGACTCTACCTCTCTGGGCACGTTCTCAAGAGTCTCGAACTCTCAGTACCAAACCCAAAGTCACCAAACTCTCCACAGTCGCCTTTAGTTGGGAGGAGGCAAGAGCAGGCAATGGCAATGGGCAATCTGGCAATGAGAGTTGAACAACTGTCCTGACTCCTGACTACGTGACTACTCTGACATATCCACCGAGACTTTTTGTTGGGACGGGAGTCATAGGACTGGGCAACTGACGTGACGAGTTGCAAATCTGCTACTATTCTTGTTCAGGGGACCTGGGGACCTGGGGATCGTGGACGTGGCCTGTAGGCTGTATCCGTACCGCGGCAATGCACTTCAATTTCGGTCCACGGCCAAATGACCAAATGGCCAAATAACGATATTCTTCAGCCATGATCCAGGTCCACGTTTTCCGAGAATACTGGATCCCTCATTCTTTCCGAGTACATAAAGAGAGAGGAAAATCGGGGGACCCGTTGCGTTGCCACTCTATCTTTGGAAGCTAAGCCATAACAGGCACGTCCATTCAGTCGAGATATCCAGATCTGCGAATCAGCATGAATAGCTTATGTAAAAGGGTACCCAATAGGAATAGCCGTGGTCGTGGCGTGGATGCTAAGCAGTCACGGGGTCTTCCGAATTCCAGGGACGGATAAGGCGACCTTACCTAACCAGAATGATGAAAGTTCACGATCAATGGAAGTCCACTGAGAGCGTAACATAACATGTAGAGAAAGGATCTCTTTTTCCCCCTGAAAATATCCACACGGTGGCCCATTCCGGCACCGCGTACACTGTCCAAGGGAACACTCTCGGCAGTTTGCCATGTTGTATTCGCTCAAAGTATTCGGACTGGATAACCGATAATGCAAATGCAGGCCCAACTCAGTGAGGCCAGAGTCTCCGGCGGCTGGCCAGCGCTGCTGGTACCCGTACCTGGCAGGCGAGACTTTGTGTTGGCGCCAGCAGCGAATGAGAGTCTGGCGATGGTCTTCTGGCACTATGAATTGTTAGTTTTGGATCTAAGGCCGTCTGGACCCCGTCGATCGCCTTCCCTCATTGTGTAAGAAGGGCAAAAAGGTTGCACGCTTCCCGCTGCGACCGCCCTACTCTCTATCTCTGTCCGTCGATGCTGCAGGCGGCAGACGATTTGGAGCGCCGTCGCAACGGGAAGGGAGGCCTGGTTTGTCTGGCACCCCGGATTGTCGACGGGCCTTGACTGGCTGGCGACGGCTGCCGTGGCAGAAAGAAACATACAATGACCTGGAGCATGGCTTGGCTTTTCCTGGCGCTGGCAGCCTGCATGCATTCCGCTGGTTTCGCAGTACGCGGCAGTCATGTCGAGGTTGGAGCTGTCCTCGCCCAGTCGCTGCGCGAGCTGTACTTGCCGACCACGTACCCCCAGGGCGGTGTGGCGACTAACGACGCATCCAAGTGGATCATACTTTCCAAGGACGGTTGGTACTGACTGGCTGTGCCTATGGTGGCTGTCAGGTACGTAGCCGGCAGTGCATAATGCAATAGGTACGCTGGTTTTTGGTACGGGTGCTCTGAACGGAGTGGCAGTACGGAAAATTGCTTGGGTTACCTCCATACTGGCGTCGCGTCCATGGGACAGTAGGCCCTCCGTCAAAACATGATCACCGTTCATCATCGTCCACCGTCCAGCGATGATCTACCGTGTAGGAATAAACGTTTGAGCACGTTCCTTCCTGGGCATTCGCAATACCTTGGCTTCTCGGTGCCATCTATTGACTTCAATTGTACTGTACTTCTCTCCTCTACAAGCCAATTGTCTTCCTCATTCGCACGCCTACTTCCATAATAAACCACAAGAGAGTACTGCCCTGCAACAACATGTCATCACTTGCACGCAATACGATCGCTTAGGTCTCGCCGTTCCAGTAATCAATGTTGCACGAAGCCGCACAGCGATAGAGCTAACGAGAGGTGAGAACACCCAGAGAGGGGAAAAAGTTCGAGACCTCGAGTGTTCAACCCCAGACGGTCCCTTGCAGCCACTTCGCACATCACACCTTGGACCTTCATTGCCAGCGAGTTTGCGAACGTGCGAACGTCCCCCCCCCCTCCCCGGTCGAGCAGCCTGCCAGCCATTCGCGGATTCATGCACTTCGCAGGGGTTCGCCCGCTGTCTCAAGGAAACTTCCCACATCTCGAACCAAGTTTCCGAGGGGCCCTTGTCAGTCGCACTGTCCCGCCGGTCAATCTCCCTTTCCCCCCTGAGCTTGGGTTTGCGAGATACATCTGATGCTACTTAGATTACCTGCCATCTCCCGCACCGCTGGTCCCCTCTATGGCGTACCTTGCTACCGGACTTCGTCATAGTTACGCTGCTGCACGAGTTTAATTGCCTTGCGGGCACCCCTCGCGCCAGCGTTCTTCGCAGGTTGTTATTGTTGCGGCATCCGTATTGTTGATGTTTATGTTGATTAACAAAGTTGTTCGGCTCCGACCCCGTGTCTACTTGGTTGTGTCGGTCAATCTACACAACAACTACATAGGGCGCGGCAACGCATTCTCGTCTTACGTATCAACACAGTGGTATCGCCGGCTACCCAGAGATTGCGTATTTTGGACAATGCTTTCGTCTTGAATTCGCCATCCATCGAAGCCAATGGAAGTCAGTGCGGAAGGTTTTCGTGCCGTGTACTCCGTTATGAGCAATCAAGTTTATCAATCAAGGCGGTCCCGTTGAATCGTCCGCTTCGACGATGAGTAACAACACAAAGCCCCGTCTACCATTCGCCGGAACGGGCACCGAGTTCCCTCTTTGCACTCTCCTTTTTCTCAGTGGATTCTGGAGAGGATCCCGACAAGTACGCCTCTTGCTTCCTCGCTGGCAGCTCCCAGTTCCAGCAGGCTACGGGGCCGGAGAGATGATGAAATGGGCTCTCAAGACGGGGCGGACGGGTACAAGTTGGGCGAGAATCGCCGTGCCGGGACCCGTTGACTATCCACTGTGGGTTATGTCAATAGTCAGCTGGTCTGGTACACCTGGGCCTGGACGCTGAGTGATGCAGTCGTGCTCCTATGTGTTCCTCTGCTCTTGGCTAAGCTGATGAGGTACCTCACTCGGTAGACGGCTGCCAGCCCATTCGGTACTTAGCTCACACCAACTATTTGCACTAGGTTTACCAAGGCACATGGTTGACTTTCCAAGTTGACCTCGAGGCTCGTCAGTGCGTCAGACTCAGCCAACACCGGGCACCGTGAACCCGTTATGACACCGCTGATGGCACAGTGTCACAGTCTTCACACCCTCAGCGCTCACCGTCCGAGGTCTGGACCTCCAAGCGTGGAGCTGGCTAACGGAGTGGTAAACGGAAGCCAAAGTCGTCTATGTACAATGTCTACAGGCGCCTTGAGAGAAGACACAAACATCAGAACAGGCCATTCAGAGGCAGCAAGTGGGGCTTCTGGGCTGACCCGGCCTTTCACTCACTGGCTGTCTCTTTCGTCTGTTCTCTGCATAGGTACCTACTGCGTAGGCATGGAGAGAAAGCTGCCTCCCCCCTCCACAGTTCAGACACCTGACTGCTGTCTATGTCTGAGGTTGGTTGTCGTGTGTCTGGGGAAAGCAACAGAGCCAAAAGGGGGGCTGAGATCTGAACAGACGGGAGCGAGCAATCGAAGTGTCGGTCTGTCGGTCTGGCTGACTGGAGTCTTTTCAGGCATGGCTGGGTTGCGTTGCATCGCGTCTGGTTGCCAGCCCAGCGAGAAAGAAAGCCCAGTCGTGTCCTGCAGGATGATCAGGACAGCATAGGGTAGTGCATGCTATTACTGGGTAGCTACTAAGGTATACATACGGATAATATGCAGGAGACAGTTGTCTGGTGCTGGGGATTGGAGAGCGATGTGAGAGACAGGCAATCCTGCTTTGAATGCTGTCTGCAAGTTGGTCAAGCGTGCGTTCCGGTCGTCCCAGTCGTCCCACTCCCCTCCCCCCATCATTCCACGTAGCGCGCCATGCTTCCTGGCGACTTGTCCCAGACTGTCCAGTACCTGTGCCAGGTGCCAGCCCCGTGTGTGCACATGATACGTACTCTTCCCCCACCGCTTTCTCGACCGTCCGTCACCCTTTCCCAAGGATGCTACCTCAGCATCCTCAGCATGGCTCAGGTAAGGAACCTATCCAGGTACCTAGGTAGCTCCCTCCCCACGCAGTAAGGCCAGGTACCTTACTGTGTGCCGATACTGACTGCGTAAGGTAAAGTAGACTTTCATTCCGTCCCAGTTCTCTCAGTTCCATCCAATGCCCTCGTCTTGTCGGTACGTATCGCCGTAAGTGTACTTGCACCTCACCGTCCCGGAGCTGTCGCAATACGCAGTCCCCGGTACGTACTCCCGCGCTCGCCTTTCCACCCCCGGTCTGCCTATCTCGCTCCTGGGGTTCCTCGCTCTCTTGTCGCTCTGTCGCTCTGTCTCTCTCTCTCATCCCGTCTTATCCAAGCCAATCCATCCTCGTCCATTCACCTCCATCTTCTTCTTTGGCCGTCTTTTGCTCACACACTCTCTCTTCGCTCACTTCCACACCTCTCTTCCTCTCGCCTTGTATTCCCTGTCCTGCACCAGCCTACCCACCACCACCCATTTGCTTCATCCAACCTACCTTACCGTACGGTCCTCTCTGCCTCTGCCTGCACTTACCTACTTTACTCTAATACTCCCCCTTCATCATCCTCGCCCCTTCTCTTGCTTGTTTCCTCTACTCTACCATCCTTCAATCATCGTCGTCAACGGCCTCTCTTCCTCTCCTTGCTTGTTAGCCTCCTCTCCCCCGCCTCAACCTCCTCCCTTTACCACCCTTTCGCTCCGACCTCCTTATCAACTACTCGTCCATCAACAAATCCACCGATACTCGCAACGCCAGCTCCCGCGTGCCCACCCGCGAGTCATACTTGCAAGCAATCACGCAATCTCCTATCACGCTCTGCCATCGAGTTGAAGAGTATATCAATCAGTCAACCCATCGACAGAGATAGGATAAGAGAGGCCTCAGGAACCACGATTTCCCTACAAACTCCACCAGCCTCGGCAATTTGCTGTCATTGAACATTGACTCACACCTCGTGTCCTTTGACTCACTTTGGCCCTCGCCTTTGTCACTCAACATCCGTCCACGCTTTAAGCAACGACACCTCCCTCACCCATCCATCGAGATAAGAGCTACCCACCTCCCATCGATCGACACTCACCAACGACTCTCGTCTGTCGATTCGTTGTCACACACTGCTCAACGCTCGAATGCTTCCGTAGCCACTACTCTTCGCCGATCCCGGTAGTCAGCTTGCTTGCAAGCCGTTGCTATTCATACTTTCAACGACATCTACCCACGGCCATCGACTATCACGTCAACTGGCCTTTGTGCCTAATAGAGCCAGCAAACCAACGATCAACCGCATTAGCAGTTGGGTGCCATCTCGAAACAGTCTGAATCCTCTAGTTAGGAATCGACGCCTTCATTTCTCCTGCGAATCAACTATCCAAAGTTGACCTCGCGAACCCCTTGTTCGACCTTCGGGCGCCACTCTCTACACTTTTTTCCAGCAAGCTTGCTCTATTTCAATGTCCTCATAACGATACTTCTTTGTCTTTTCCGGACCATATCGTCCAACCCCATAACGACCAATCAACCAACAACAACAGACTCTCGCTTTCATATGTCCGTCTCCAGCAAAAAAATACCCTCAATGAGCCTCTGATAAGTCAACGAAAAGGAGTTAGAAATTCGTCTTGTTTCCTGCTAGATTTGTTCTTTCAACCCTGTATATTCTTGGTAACAACCAAACCCGCCTCCTTCTCGATCTACAACAACAACAACCGACACGAATCCTACGCTGTTCACACCCATCCTTCTCGATCCAGCAACCACTCGAATCCTCCTTCCTCTGCAACGACGAAACCTCGAAAAGCTTGCTTTAAGGCTGTAACATCACCCTCGCCGCTACATCGTTGTTTCTCAATTCGATACCCCCGTGCTCCAAAGCTTCTTTTTCCAGTTTCGATATGGCATGCTTGAGAGACAACTTCCAGAATGGCGTGCTCCTCGGTGGTCGATATGAGACCATCTCTCCCCTCAACCATGGTTCCTTTGGCATGGTCTTCATGGCCAAGGACACCAAGACCAGCGAGACCGTTGCCATCAAATGCTTGACTAAGAAGGAAGCTGCTGATGAGTACGGTTTCGACTTCGCCATTGACGAGAAATCCGAGGAGCTTGTTCTCCACAGCCGTCTTGGATCCCACCCCAACATCGTCAACCTTCTCGACACCTTCGAAACCGATGCTCACCTCTACTTGGTTCTGGAGTTCTGCCCTCAGGGTGACTTGTACGAAGCCATCCGCAAGGGCCATGGCCCTCTCGAGACGGAGCATGTCCGACAGTTCATGCTGCAGCTCGTAGATGCCGTCGACTACATCCACTCCAAGGGCATCTTCCACCGAGACATCAAGCCGGAGAACATCTTCCTCACCCAGTCTGGTGACATGAAGCTCGGCGACTTTGGCCTCGCTACGACCGAGAACTGGACTCTGGAGAATACTGTTGGCAGCGACCGTTACATGTCCCCTGAGCAATACGACTCTGCGGGTGCCGGCTACTCTCCTGCCCAAGCCGACATCTGGGCCATTGGTATCTGCCTCCTCAACATCCTTTTCTCGCGGAACCCCTTCACCACTCCGACCGAGGCGGATCCGCTTTTCCTGGACTTCTCCAGAGACAAGCAATCCCTTTTCGACGTTTTCCCCTCCATGTCGCTGGATACCTATGAGGTCATCGTTCAGTGCATGAGCTTGGATCCTAAGAAGAGATCACTTGTCGGTGCCCGTTCTGCTCTCCAGCGTGTCATCAGCTTCACCACCTCCGAGGAGGATGATGATGACTTCTGCTCCGCCGAGCGTCATGTCATGGCGAGCGCAAATCGCGAACCCTTGCGCACTCCTTCCATCCAGAGCCCCCAGGTCGATCAGGGTGCATTCCCCTGGGCCAAGGCCCTGCATGCCAGCCCTCCTCAGCCGATTCGTCAGCTCAGCGCCATTCCCGACGAGGACCTCTTCTCCAAGTCTGGTGAGACCCAGAATTCGGACTGGTTCAGCTCTGCTCAGGCTCCTTCGATTTCATCCACACTCAACTCTAGCCTCGGCATCTCCATGCAGTCCCTTCACATTGGCCGACCTATGAAGGCCGCTCCACGCCCAATTCCCAAGGTTTCACCCATGGCCGGCTCCCTTCCCATCAACATGGCAAAGCCCCGCAGCAACTTGTCTTCCATGTCGTTGGTCTTTGGCCGTAAGGATGCCGTTTCCAAGAGCTGGAGTGACATGTGGGATGAGGATGAGGAGGAAGAGGAGGCCGAGCGCGAGAGAGAGATGCAGTCTCTGAAGGATCTCAACTCGCGGACCTGGAGCCAGGATGGCAAGTCGGACGACAAGGAAGATGACTGCGAGACCGTGGATGCTACACCCCTTGCGACCACACCTCAACGCTCTTTCCATGACAGCCACAAGTTGATCCACAATGACATTGACAGCGACCTTGCTGCCGACGGATTCTTCTTCCAACAACCATCTCCGCCTAAGGCGAGGGCCATGTTGCCCACATATCAATCACCATCCCCTAAGCGGGACAACGTTGATAAGTGGGCCGCGCTCGGTCAGCGGCGTCGGGGTCTCACGGGATCTTCATATTCCCACATGTCACCAGAAGTTCCTAGACAACGAGCAATTGGTCTAGGCTACAATTCCTATGCGGCTGGGGCCAATTCTTTTGCTACCGCCTCGTGGGAACACGGCGGACACCACCAGCACCACAACAACATCATCAACAACAACAACAACAACAACAACAACACACATCACATCACACAAAAACAATCACCGAA